CGCGGCATTTATTTCACGATCTTATATATTTTTTTAATTTTTTAAAATATTTTTTCATAGAAAGATCACAACCCAATCTACAGACCTATCAATTTTCAGAGTTGTGGAGTCATCCTTCTGAGCGCGAAAAATCGCGGAAGTTGGGATACTTTTCCCGTTGGCCGTCACATGATACAGCAGCAAAACCCCCCAAAAAATGAATATAGGACGAATTGGCGCGGTGTTTATTTCACGATCTTAAATATTTTTTTATTTTTTAAAATTTTTTAAAATATTTTTCGTAGAAAGATCACGACCCAGTCTATAGGCCTATCAATTTTCAGAGTTGTGGAGTTATCCTTCTGAGCGCAAAAAATTGCGGAAGTTGGGGTACTTTTCCCGTTGGCCAACACGTGCAAGAATGACAAAAATAAAAAATGGACAGTGCAACTAAACGGCGCGGCATTTATTTCACGGTCTAATTTTTTTTTTTTTTTTTTTGATATTTTTCCTAGAAAGATCACAACCTAATCTACGGGATCTCAAATTTTTAGAGTTTTTCCTCAATTCGTCTGAGCGCGAAAAATCACCAGATTTGGTGCTTGAAAATTGCGGGACTGGACCCGCCTGCCACATTGTGCAACGTTAGGGTTTGGAGACAGGCACTTTCTGACCTGTCAGCTGCCTGACGTCAAATACACTTCATAAAGAAGCAGTCCCCAAAACCACACAGGGGCCCAATCCACCTGTGTGGTTAGGGCAGTTGCGTATTTCAAATTTGTGCGTGGGTTCAAACCCCAACAACAACCATTGATAGCGAACTTCAAAATGTTAATGTGTGTGTGTGAGGTGGGTGGCTGGGCATGCGTGCGTGCATGTGGGGTGGGTGGGTGTGTGTGCGTGCGTGCGTGTGTCTGTGGGGTGGGGGTCAGGGTGGGTGGAACTCACCCACTGTGTGGGGGGCAGGGGTGGGGGTCTAAGGGTGGAGGTGGGTCACAGCGACGCACCCGCCACCCCGCTTCCTTTTGTCAGCGCCAACGCCGAAGAAACTTGGCGCTAAACCGATGAATAAAATGAAACTTGCCAAAACGACGAAAACAAATAAAGAAAAAAAATAATAATGGAAGAAAGAAAAGAAAAAAAATAGAAATGCGTCCCAAGAAAAAAAAAGGGGGGAAAACGACACTGTCTTGGTATTGACGGCGGGCGCTTCGAGATATTCCCTCGCATCGACGCCCGCCGCCGCTCCGCCCCTTGGGCGCGCTCTCTCGTTTTCTGGCACGCTGTTAACGTTTCGGTACGCGCGCCACTCTGCCCCGCCCCCGGCCCTCGATCGCCTCCATCCGCCGGCCTGCAGCAAAACTTCACCCCCAAGTCCGGCGCGGAGCAGACCATCGACCTCCCCCCGCGGCCAATGCTGGGGTAGGATATATGTATATGTATATATTGTGACGATATATATATATATATATATATATATATATATTTTGGCTGTGACAGACCTTTCTTTGTTTCGTGGATGTTTTGCTGGCTTGTGATGGGGTGTGAACCGACAGTCTGTAGAGTTTTCCATCTGGTGTGGGTGAGTGATAGTC